AGTAATAACTAGTGTGTCATAGCGATCCAATGACGTATCACCTGTCGTCCCGTTAATCACCGATTTTCTTTAGCGGGCGCCAGTAACTTCTCCATTCGTCTCTGCCGCGAGCCAGAGTAGTCCAGTGGATCGCTCTAGCTTGTGAGACACATGGCATTGCATTCCTTCCCTTCAGAACATTCTCGAAGAAGTTTGTCTATCGTGATCTTTCTGGTGTTCGTTTGACGTCCCAAGAGATCCATTCAGTAACTGCCATGGTCCAACGGTCCACGACATCGGATGACGCGTGCAGTCCACCTGATCTTCGATTTTTTGGCGTAATCAACGGAATTCCTGATCTTCATTTGTCGACAGAGTTTAGAACTCCTGCACTTGTGTGTATAGGAAAATGCCAGCACCATGCTTCCACAGTGCGCTAGAAGACCCTTCCAGCATGTCCATCATGTTGCTTTCGTACGGTCTAAGTCTCCGAAGCGTACCTCAAAGCAGGCAGTACTCTCCTCACTCGGTGCGTTTCCTTCTGCTCAGCTCCAGTACTATGTCGTTTATTATGCAGCTACTCGACCTAAATACACGTAGCTGAATCATTCAGAGGTGTTCGTCCCGTTCAGCATGAAAGGATAAGGAACTAGTCTACTTTGCATGAACGATACCATAAATTCAGTCTCAAGCCGATCTCACCACGAGAGCTGTCTGATTCGGCCAGCATTCGTTGCGCCTGCTCAATGTTCGTTGTTATAAGCACGATCCGTTTGCAAAGCAGAGATGATGTAAGCAGCGACCGTCGACCCTTCTCATTCCATATGACGCATGAAGTTCTCGTCGGCACTGAAAGTATGGGTGAAATGGTGTCGCTTTGCCGAAGCCTTCTATTTACGTTGACGATGACTTCCTCATAGATTGGGAAGTCCTGGTCGTAAAGTGGTCGTGGAGCTCATCACATAGCATAGTCCTTGTATTTTGAGTACACTGGTTGCCCAGGGCTTAATTAGCGCTTCTGTTTCGACAATATTTAAGGCCATTACCAAAACGATGGAGACGTAAGATGTAAGACCTCCTGTACTTTCGCGACTATTCAGTGATTCTTGTGATACAGTAATCACCTGAATCACCCACCTGGTAGTTCAAATCTTACACTTGCACGAAGCGGAAGTTTGTAAAGGATCCTATTCCCTATCTGCAACAGCGGATGCTCACTGCTACTGCGAAACTAAAGTATTGAATCGATACCTACCCATGCCCTTCAACACCCATTCTACTGGAAATATTAACTTTACCTGCACCTCGTCTGATTCTCACTGATAGTGTGCAAGCCAAATGCAAACGCACTTACGACCCTGAAGGGAAGTCTATTGGATGGAATCCCTTCAAAGTCGAATAGAGTGCGTCAAGAAACTTCATACTTCTGAAAGTAACAAATCAGTATCAATGGAAAGCTAGCCCTGTACCACGTTTTAAGGATTCGTGCGGGGAAGTTGAGTTCAACTATCACGCAAAGTTTGCCGATTTTCGAAGCCAGTGTTATTGTATAATAGGCCAACAAGTACCGACGAGATATGAAACCCTCCACTGCCTTTCCAATGCTCTGGTAGGTTCTTTAGAATAAGAATTCGTGTCTGAAAAGCGATAAGTAGTAGCAGCAGAAGGCAATGATGAAGGGGAACACAAAAGAAAACCAAGGTAAACTCTTAGTTCACGATTATTTTGAAGTACTTTTCTCAAATAGGTAGCGGAACTGTCGAGTTAGGACAGTGCAACGGTGGCGAAGAAAGCAAGAGAAACCGCAGGATTTGCGAAATATGTGGCTTCTAGAAAGTGGTGAAAGTAGGGATTATGACAAGGAAGTGATATGTAAGGGTTATTTCGGAGATTCCAGTTGTTGCAGTTGCACGGTGAGCTGGCCACAATAGGTAAAAAATCCCTAGATATAAAAATGACCTTTATTGTCGCCGTTGTAGTCAAAACTAGTGCTGCTGCGATCTCGTATTTTTAATCTATGCTATTATCCTCATACCAGGTGGCTACGCACGCTATTGCGTGCGCTGGGGGCTCTAGATATACGGGACGGAGCCACATAAGCTTCTGATTTTCGTTATGGACCTTTATCATCTGAGCCTCTTCCCTGACACCTCTGTAGCGACCTTAATTTTTTTGGGATGTGAAATGGAGCTGTACTGTATGTGGCCATGAAGAGTACTCCGTTGTATCCAAATCAAATACCTCTGCAGTCGATGTAGTCGAAGAAACCCTGTGTGGTTTGGGCTGTGTGTGGCCATGAACACTAACCTTGAAGGAACAGCCCCTTTGGGTAGTTAGGGATTTACACGTCTCTACAGTGTACGCACCTGTGTGGCCGGGCTATTGTAGAATTTGTTTTGTGAGGGCTGAAGTCAATGTAGCGCGTTTGCTTTTGCGTAGAAGGGACTACTGTGTGTGGAACCATTGATAACAANAAGGAAGTGGCATGTAAGGGTTATTTCGGAGATTCCAGTTGTTGCAGTAGCATGGTGAGCTGGCCACAATAAGTGAGAAATCCCTAGATATGAAAATGACCTTTATTGTCGCCGTTGTAGTCAGTGCTGCTGCCATCTCATATTTCTTATTCTATGCTATTATTCTTTTTATTATTCTATTGCTGCTATTGTTATTATTTTATTGTTTTACTACACAGTGCGGTGCTCACTAACTGGCTGTTAGAATTTTCAACATATGTGCTCCATTGCGAATGATTCAACCTCTATATAAAACACGGCTACTTCTTGGGGCGACGTAATCTAGGACTCACTGCGTACTATTTAGACCTTTTCTTTCTATCAGAAACCCCCGTGGGCAATACTCGAAGTTCAGAGATTCATCCCAGTAGGGAACCCCAAAAATTATTCTATCGTGGAACATCTTCAATCACTACCTTGTGACATTAGGTCGGAAAGCGCTTTTTTTACCATTCAAAGTTCACTAGAGCCGCCCAGGTGTTTCATATCATCAGTTTTTTGATTTCTCAAAGATTGTCGGTAGGGAAATGCTCTGACTTATATCGGATGCTGTGACTTATTGTTAGTACGCTATGTGAGAATAGCTGAAATACCGAATAATAACGAGTGCACTGCGCGTCGATACACTTTCACAACACTTTTATCAAGCATCCTGTCGTTTTTTAGCCAATTCTCAAATACCATTTGGACGCTAACACCATTTGAAGAGCTAAGAGTAAAGTAACTTTCCACAGTTATCACGATCTGTTTATCAGTTGTAGTAGCCATGCCCCTCATTCAAAGAGGATTTCCGTTCAGAAGTGTATAGTTGTGGGGTTCATGGGCTTGAAACGTGAATGAGAAATAAAATGAAAAATACTGGTCAGGTTAGGGCAATTGTATGAGTGCTTTTAAAGGGTTTAGGATGTTTTCCCCAAATCTCTTTGTCAATTGGAGATGTTGTCTACTGAAAAAGGCTCATCTCATTTAAACTGCACGCAAAAACTACATACCGAATTTTGCTTGATTTAAGTAATGTATCAGTGGTTCAGTGAATCCCGAATTGAATAAGAAACCACTCGACGAGTAGGGAAAAATCATGCAGAACTAAACCGTGGGCTCTTCCATCAACCATAACATAGAAGTCTCGAAGTTCATAGAGAAACGAATGTTGCATGAGCATATATAATAGAGATAATTCGAGTAGCATATCCCCAAATTTAGGATCCCAGCAGGGCTTAACTGAATAGGAGCAGCGCCGACGACGTCTATTGGTTGAGCGAATCTTGATTGTCAAGGTCAGAAACTGAACAGTTGGAGATACTGCTGTGTTTGGAGCTTACACATGCAGTACATGATGCGGAAACCAGAAATCCCCTGAGGGCGTTTTCTCAAACAGGATTTTCCAAAATTCAGCGTTGTAGCAGAGCATTCCAAAAAAAAANGTAATTATGAGTATTGGATAACCAAGAACTCTCCCGTTCTCGATTATGTAGTTATCCAATGCTTGTTACAGTATACAACATCATGTAGTCATATGTTTGCAGGAAGCTATATACGATTTCATGAACCTGGAGTGCGTCGTTGAAGCGATCGATCATCTCAAGGAACTTGGATTGACAACAACTGCACCACGTACACATATGACTATCACTACAACTATTACTAGATTATCAGAAACTAGTTCGTCTACCTCAAGTGGTATCACAACAGCATCAGTCCCCTCCATGACACCTACAACAACGATACCTACTGTGATGGAGAGAACTGGGACAACAACAAAGTATCCTACCGAAATTACTGCAACCACGCCAGTTCTTACTACTGCTGCAGTCACAACAACCTCAGCAAGAAGCAGTAGGACTATGGCGCCGGAAACACATTTCACCCCGACCACTTCGGCGACAGAAGCGATTCCCTTATCCTCTGTCGCAGAGATAACAACGGTACCCTTACCGACCGCTACTATAACGAAAATGATTCCACCCTATACGAATACAATGACGACAATATCGTCTCCTGCCAAAGATTCTACAACAGCCCCAACACGTACCACTATTGGTGACCCAACGTTACCGACAGCCACCAGTAGTACAACAGCAACAACGGTTAGTTCCACAACTGCACTGACGATCACGGCGACACTTATGAATACTGCAACAGCTCCAACTATTGAAACGATTCGCACGCCAGCAACTATTCCTTCTACAACTATCGAGGTCTCTCCAGGGTCTATTACGACGAACATTCCCATTACGACTACAACGACAAGAGCATCGACTCCGATCGAAAGCATTACTACTGCTTCATCACTTGCCACTATCGCTTCCACAGCAACACCGACTGCCACCAAATCTGAGGCGACAGCAGCGATTTCTACTCCGATTACTGCGATGGAATCTACGACTTCCGTCGCGGTTACTACTACTGCAACCGTTTCTTCCACGACTACTTCGAGAAATGGACGAACTACGATTACCTCAACGGCTAGAACAACAAAAACAGCAAGAGTAACCTCAGCAGCAACGATTCCCTTTTCGATTCGAGCGACTAACTTCGTGACCTCTGCAGCAACATCATTGCCTTTCGTGGATACTACGGCGACGTCGTTGAATGCCACTGCAGGTACTACATTGACAGATACCGTGAATACCGATGCAACACAACTAAAAACTGCTCGCACATCCATTAATGAATCATCGAGCATTGGTTCAGTTGCCGAATCTACAACGCCATTTGGATCAGGTAGTAAGAAATATGACGCGTGATCTCACGCTTCCTTAGGCTTATGTTTTTAGGGCAAGCTCGTATAATGCTCAGGCAAGATAAAACAAATAGCAGAAAGGTTGAGTTACACGCTACCTCTATTTGTAAATACATTTTGAAGTATCTATCCAATTTAAGGAGTACTTCCGTGCACAGCGGAAACGGATACTGTAAGTCACGATGAAAAATCTTTCCTACAAACTCGCTCTTAGCCTTAAATGCGCATTAACGCAGCCCATCATTTAAAAAGTGTAGGGTTAAGCGGGTGTGGTAACCTCTTCCCAAAAATCGCGTCGCGCTCGCCGTAGCCCTTCGCGCACCGTCGCTTGCTATGGAGGAGAAGGTTTGAATTCTCAGTGCAAGAATATGGCAGCGGCTGCGGAAGCACTGAAGCTTGTCGTGGGAGTTCCAGGGAGAAGAGAGGGAGAGGTACCACCCCTGGGTGACTTCAGTGGATGATAGTATGAAGCTGCTCGACTTGGACTCTATTAAATTCACGACTACTAAACACACAAGCGCATCAAGCCATGCAGACCGCATGGGACCATTTGACGCCCATATGCTCAACATTTTGTCATAATTTTTTTCCTTCATGGGACGTGACTTCTCCCAATTTTTGTGTTGATTCTATTAACGAAGCATTAAGGCTTCCAAACGACGTGCCCCCTGATTAGGACTAATATGATTTGGTCGCCACAAGATTTACCCCTTGCAAACGTTTCAGTTGAAATCAAACTTTGACTTCTACTTCAAAACAAACAAGCAAACAACAATGGGACTCTTTTTTTCAGAGAACGGGCAAAGTTGAAGTTGTTGGTAATATCTTCCATTATGACAATAGGATTGTTAGTACAGCTGGCATTGATAACATTGCTTCGGAAGAGATTGCGACAATGGACTGAGAACAAATCTGCGGTGCAATCAGGCTTCTTAGAAGGTAGGAAGAAAATGAAGATGAAACAGAAAAGATCGAACGCTGTTCCTGAGCAGCATTATAATGGACTAACTAAGCAAAGGAAAAGGAACCATCATAGTCTCGAAGACATTGTCGAGGTGAATCGCCGTGGAGACACGCTGCAAAAAAGTTCCTTAAGCAAGGGGGACATGGGCAAGGTTTTCGATAAAAAACTGTCTGCAGAACAATCATCGAACGAGATCAATATTGATGCAACTCAGTCATTGGAATCCAAATCGGATTCCAAAGAAGGGCAAGTAAAACAGAGAAACATCAAAGAACCAACATCACTCGGTTCTAAAGAAGAGTTTGCAAAATCGAAGGAGTCATTGGAATCCAAGTCGTTCGATTCCAAAGAGGAACTTGCTAAACCAAGCAGTTCCAAAGAAGGAACTATGAAGTCGGCTGGTTGAGTGTCCGGACCGTTTTTGTGTTTCTTTTTCACTTCTCAAATCTCAAAAAATCTTTTAATAGATGATTTTAACACTGTTTAAGAATTATCACATAGTGTGAACAGAATAAAAACTATCTCCTATTGTTTTTATGAGTCGGTGGGTGGGTACTTTATTTGTTCGACGCAGTCGGATATTCATCTTTAATCAGCTAATTTTCCTCATGAACGGGTCCTCTGAAAGTAATCGTATCCCACGCCTCTCTGACATGCTCATCCCGCTTTTCCCCTGTATGTATGTGCTCGGGAATTTCGTAAAGGGACTTGTTCCTTTTTGTTGAGGGGTTGAAATAGTCGCTCAACGATCTATTCATTTTTACTATAATTTTGTATTTTTCGAAGCCTAAAGATCAAAGTCACCTATTTCGTCTCACATTCGACGTTAGTGTATTGGCTGTTACGAACTTTGAAGGGCTGATACATGATGACATCTGGCGACATCTGGTCGGGAGGCACAACAATGGATATAGCGTGAAAAGAGTCTGAGAAAAACCGGGAACTAAATTGATCAAGGCTGTCGGTTAATGCAAAACAGCATTCTTTTTGGATGGCGACAAGATTGGTAGGATGGGAACGTTGACGATGGATTACAGACATTTTATCTACCCTTTTTTTTACCCTTCACGGTCGATGTCTTCATCTTCCTATTCTCCTGTGTTCACCATCGTATGGTGGAAATGCTCTTTCCGGAGTGACCCGATTGGATTACCCATTTTCCTTGTATTCTTTTTAGGTTCTATTCCTAAATAGATGGTGATAGCGAGTGCTCATTCTCCAGTGTTGTTACTTCCGTAATCATGTCGATCCCGATCTAAGCATCTTTGGACCTTGTCTACTCTTTGCAAAGATGAATTTCCATGCAACCCACAACACCTAACATATGTATACTATGCAACAGACAAGACGGATTTTTAAGTCCCATGAATGTGTATACAGTAAACCGAAGACACACTCAAGCGCTTCACCCATCACATATACGACGCAACAAAAAGCTACCTTGGATGAGGTACGAGTTGGGTGATTGGGCAATGCACACTGTATCACAGATCACGGGACTTGTATTCAGCAGACATAGCATCCATTTAATGTATTATACATAGTCAAGCATGAATGCAACATAGAAAGTGCCTGTGTGGGAGAAGATAGAGAATTTGGGCGATGGTATGGTTGATGGAGGAGCTCCGACGAGAGTCGTTCAATCAGTTAAGTCTCGGGAACAACTAAAGTGACAGCGTGCAAATAAGTCGGGAATGGAGAGTAACACGAACAATTCAGTATTACTGGGGAGAACACGAACAGTTCAATAATATTCTAGAGAAATTCTCCTTTTAACTGATCACACCAAAGAATCTCAGTTTCATGTTTCTTCAGATAGTTGAGCTTAACTGCCATGGAACAACCTCCCTGATCTCCTTTCCTGAAACTTGAGCAGTTGCTCTATGATTAATCTGTACTTCTGTGCCCAACATATATGTATTTTTAGTGGTCGAATATTAACGCCGGACGTTTCGTTTCGTTTCCCATTTATGTTTTATACACCAGATCGATTCAGCGCAATTATACAGCAATGCCTGGAAAGAACGGATCAAACCGATGTCGTTGTCTTGGTTAGCGCACCAAGAGAGGACATTAAGCACCAGTTGGTTATACATCGGCTCTGATTGGATTTGTATTATGGATAACTGCGTGATCTGGCCGTATAGAAAAGTAGGAGACTGTGCAAAGGGCAGCTCCAGTGTTTAACATGTAGTGCTTGCTGTATTGGAGAAATTCCGAGGACGTTTTGCAAGCTTGCAAAGAAACATTCAGGCAGCAACCGAAGAAGTTGCTTGATTACACTGCTTGGAAATGAATTTTGACGTTGAATTCACGAATTTGGCCCACGAGAACAGTACTGGAGCTAGAAAACTGGAGGCTTTCTGAATAAGATACAGAAGTCCTACATGAATAACAAGAATGAGTGCATAAACATAATTGGCGATCTCTTGCCTCACTCCCTCTGTGTGGACTTTGATAGTGGGGACTGATACATGTCACTTTGCGATACTATCAATGGGTCGTGGTTGACCGGGCAGTCTCATTTGCTCTGTTGTCCTTAAAGTTGAGCAAGTGTTCGTTGTTGGCATAAGTGATTAGTTGAAATTTCCGTTTAGTTGGAAGTCCATTGGTTCGAGTTGCAACTGGATAAGAATTGATCTTCGTCAAGCGTGATAGAGCGTGATAGATAAAGCTCTAAACTTCCGACACGCTTTCGGACCTTTGATAACGACGAAATGTTCGAAACGTCAGCCGTAGTAAATGTTCCAACATTAAAAAAACCTTTGAGCACAGAAGCACTAGTTAACCTCTCAGTGCTGGCATGATACCATGCTTGTGTCCACCCTAGTTGACATACTCATGTGTGGGCGTAAGGTGTCAACACAGGCTCTTAATCCATATTGTTATACTATGTGGACGTTACCACTTGCAACCACTGACTCTTACAGTTTTGGCACCATTAGGGTGACGTTGATGTACATCCTTATCAGATCGCTTTAAGGGCAAAAATGTGAATGATAATACGGTAATAAAGGGTCTTAAAGAAGGACAATAGTGGCTAAAGGTGAAGATAGCGTAAAAACATTTTGAGTTAGAAATCTGAATTTGCCCTACCATCAATAACAGGTCACGTTATGTGGGCCAAAATTAAATCACATCGCTATTGAGAGAGCACTAATCGGAGCCAAAACAAAGTGATGTCTAGTTTTGCGATCAGGAACAAAAAACCAGTTGCATTGAAGAAATGATCTATAAGAAACTTCCCAATTTCCACATGCCTAGGAGAAAACCTGGCATAAACCTACCGATCAGTGTTATGTGTCTTCATGAAAACACTTCTCTCTAAAATTCTCATTTCCTGAAGTAGCAGAGAGGGTACAATAAAACGATAGGTGAGGGGAGCTCCCTTCAGTTTAGCAAAAAGGACCTTTAGTCAGTGGAATGCACTTTGGAGTGTGTAGTTTTTGAGTGTCGTGGATTGTTAGTCGCAAGAACGGGCAAAAGTTGACGAATCACAAGATAAATAGCACTGCAACGAGGGAAAGACACAGACCCTTACGTGATGAAGGAGCCGTTGCGAATAATCAGGACTGTAACACTTGTTCAGACTTCGTTCACCTACAATACTGACAAAAAAGAACAAGTTCTTCACTGTAGAAGAGGGGGATGTTGCTGTTGCAGAGCATCCACAGAACGAGCCGAGGCTACATGAGGAATTCGCAGTTCGACAGAAAGTAGAATAGAGGAATTCATTGGCTCAGATGATATGATGAAAGCTCTTGGACTAATTAAATACTCCTGACGAATCGATACCTATAGCTCTCGACGAAAATATAGCAGAACGAAAACTACGGTTTCCACTTTGTGGTTTGTCTGCCTTAGAGGTGACAGAAAAGTCTGATTGTGGCAGAGATTTTCTTCCTGTGCTAAATAAACTGATGTGAATGATGCATATGTCGAAGGGGCGGCCAAGGGGGACGGAACTTACGTGCGTCCGAGGATGCGCGCGGCGAACCGCGCGGCGAAGTGCGTGGTGGTTCGAACAACTAGCGCCTATCAAAGAGCCCAAATTCCAAGTAGAGTAGATCAGTAGTATCAGCTGACCCTACTAAACTACTCTACTTTGAGTTTGAGCCCCAATGATAGGCGCGAGGGACGTTCGAATCACCGCGCACTTCGCCGCGCAATTTGCCGCGCGCATCTTCGGACGCACGTGAGTACCCATACCCGGCGGCCAATTCCGTGAATGAATACTTTCTGAGAAGAATTCCGTTGCGAAGTGCATGACTGACGGATGCGTATAGCTTATGCATGTAAAGTTATAGTGATAAAGAGGTCTATTTAAGAATGACAGGCTGCGGTGGTTCAGTTGGATTCCTTCAACTAGCGGTGGGATGGTTAGCTCTCTGGCTGTCGATACGATCCTTCTGATAATCTTCCATCTTTTAATCTCTGCTGAAGCAGCTGATTCTACTGTGAGTTCTCTTCAATACCCAATCTATCAAGTACAACATGCTACACTTGCAGAGCTCGAAGTTGATGGACTTCAAAATCAGTTTGAAAGATTACGGAATGTATTGCGATAAATGGGAAGAACATTCTGAAGCTAGAAATGCTCGGAATCGTATGGTATTGCTTGACAGTAACTACTAAGAAGTAACAATGAATAGGATAGGTCACTGGTTGTTCTCTATCGAGAACAAATACAAGAACCCGAACAGCGGGCGTTGCTCAATCCGCAGAAAAAAGGTGAAATGCCTCCGTAGCGTCAATCTGCCTTTTTGCTAATCAGGCTTCAAGTCGGTCAATGATATCATAAAGACTCACACACCATTGAGTAATTTACTTCATAAGTTTTGGCGAGAGCAAACATTCATTAAGTGCAATCAGTGCGAGCAAGGTCTTCCTCAATACCATTCACAAAGCAGATTGGCAAGTCCAGTGATTGAAAAGTTGGAAATGGTGGTCTTCCGACTTGCCGAGACACGGTTTCGACTTCTATCTATGACGCATTTTTATAGTCGAGTAGGAACCTACGGTGGCAGAGGGTAAGGGTGTCCGCTTCCATCACAAAGCGTCATAGGCATTCTTCGTGTCGATGAAGGTAGTTGGATGCATGAGGGCTCGACATTCTGGTGGGTCTCATGACCACTGGGACTACGGTCAGCAGAGCTGAATCCCTTTTTGACCCTGCTTGTTCGCATGGCTGTCCTTCAATCAGTGTTTAAGCAATCCTGCTGAGGAGACTTCGGAGGTCACAGACAGCAGGCAGATTGAAAAAGTAATTGTTGCGAACTTCCTCTACGTCTCACTTATACAGAACACTCATAACTACTACAGGTCAACCAAATAATCGACACTCTGCATTCGAAAGAAATTGCGTTCAGAGCAGTTCAGTACTGTGAAGGCTGGATGCCGTTTAGG